ATATGTATATATATTTATTATTATTATCATTTCTTTTATATTATGACGGCGGCCGCTGTAAAACAAAACCAGAAAGGGCACCTCCCTGAAATGAGACAGGCACTCCCTGAAATAAGGTTTTGCAGGTTGGGATGTCTGAAATTAGGATTTCTGATTTTAATTGCTGTAAGCTTATTCCAAGTCAGTGACTCAATAAATAGTGGATTCAGTGGAGCAGAATGACAGGCAATATTATCATTTCTTTTATATTCTGACGGCGGCCGCTGTAAAACAAAACCAGAAAGGGCACCTCCCTGAAATGAGACAGGCACTCCCTGAAATAAGGTTTTGCAGGTTGGGATGTCTGAAATTAGGATTTCTGATTTTAATTGCTGTAAGCTTATTCCAAGTCAGTGACTCAATAAATAGTGGATTCAGTGGAGCAGAATGACAGGCAAGCAACTGTCTTTCCGAGAAGCTGGCAAGAAAGGCAGTGGGGACATTACTAATTCTTCTATATGCATAACTGTAAGCTAGCCTGCCGCTCCTAAAAGACTTCCGTTCCGTACACCGCATTGTTAATAAAGTTGTTACAAGGAATAAAGAAGAGCTTTAGCTGCTGCCTCACTCCATACCGGATTGGCTGGAAATGGTTTCGCCCTTTACAAGTATTAGCCAATAGTATTGCAGGGAAGTTTGAGTTTGACTCAAGGCTATCAGTATTGAGTGCTATTTGGCCGCGGAGGGCTGTTGTCAGGGAAGGAGAGAGGTGAGGTTAGTGCGTGATGGCAACGCTAAGATATTGATATGACACTTCGTTGTTATCTGATAACGCTATTGTCCGCGATTTGGTTTAGCAGTTGGCTTCTTGTGTGCTCGGACAGTCTGTCCCTCTGGCATGGAAGATGACTTGGCTAAAGCCGGGAATTTTCTACTTTACCTCTAATGCTTGTATCACCACGTGATCTTTCAACTATTACTTTAACTGTGTATGCCTTTTGTATAGCATCTATGTGTGATATAAACTTTGTAACGTAGTACCTGTGTGGTTCATTAATCGACAATCCTATCCTAAAATTATTATCCAGCAATCGAGGTCCTTGCTTTCCAGCCAGTGTGGTATCATGCGCTGTTTCTGCATTACATGAATATCCCATTCGTTGGACCACTGCAGTGTAGTACAAGCAGTAACTACATGAATGTACAATTGTAAGTTTTTAGCTTTATGTGGGTAACCAATGCTACTGTGCATTATGTAGCCTAAACTCGCCATACACCTTATAATCTGATTTTATATTCTGCTTTAGGGCTCTTTGACCCTTTGCATCTGTGCTCATCTGCCAGCTGCTGGTGTGCATGCACCTGGACTGTGCCAATGTGCCGGATTGAGTTGCATTGCACTGTTTTTTGTTTGGGGTTTTTTTTTAATGTTAGAACTTTATTGAAATTTCATAAGTCACATTTCATTGACTTACTACATGCTGTACTCTTTCTCTCTCCCCCAAAGGCAACCCCCCCCCCCCTTTTTTTTTCCTCTTTTGCACATTCCACCTGAATGTTGTGGTGGGAGCTGTCACCATCCATGACAATGCATACTACCTTGTCTTGGGTTCAGGCTGCTCTAGAGAAAATGGCTAGCACAGCCTGAACCCAGATGGTGTGAACAAGCCCTTAGATCAGGGGTCCCAAACTTAATTCACGGGGGAGGGCACTCAACATATGTATTTCTCCCGTGGGGGCCGCTTGCAGAATATCATACTTCAAAATTAAAGTTAACTATATCTGATATGGTGCTATAGACACCAATACATACTACTCCTGCACATACAAAAAATACTATCCCTGCACATATTAAATACACCCCCCTCCCATACACACAAAAAAAAATTACTACCCTTGCACTTACACTATATTGCCACATGTGCCTTTATGCACACATGAACTTTAATGGCATCCCAGTCTAAAGGTGCCCATACACTGTACGATTATCGTATGCGAAATCCCGCGATCGTATGAGAATCGCAAAGTGTATGGAAGGCGTGTGACCGTTTCTACAGTACGGTCGAACGTCTTCTGTCAAACAGGCTCGAAAACCCACCGAGAATCGTATGATTCTCGGTGGGTTAGTGGCCTGCTTTAGTTCGTAGGGTTCAATATTGAGTTGGCCCACCCTTTGCAACTATAATTGCTTCAACTCTTCTGGGAAGGCTGTCCTGTGTATTTGTGCAATGACAAATTATTTCTGTTTGTATTATTTAAAAAGTACTGATAATATGCACACCATAGAAGCAAACATGTATTGGCTGCTGTAGTGTATACAATAGCAAAGACAGGTTTTTATTTCATTTAATTGTTTTTTTATTATAACTGTTGCCTGTTACAGAATTTGTGATAAACTGTATGAAGAGCTGATGGAATTGTTGATATGGATGGTTTAGCTGGTGAGACCTTTCAGTCTTTGGAGGAAGAGGCAAGGTACTGGAAAGATCTAGCGATGAAATACAAGAAATGGTACGTTCCTTTTCTTTTCTACTACATATGGGTGGGAGGGGCTTAAACCATGAGCTGGAAAGATGACACTGCATTTTCTGTGTTAGTTCTGAGGATGCACATGAAGAGCTAAATGAGTTCCAAGAGGCTAGTCGAGAATATGAAGCTGAATTAGAGGCACAGCTTATACAGACTGAAAGCAAGAACAGAGATTTACTCTCAGAAAATAACCACTTACGAATGCAACTTGAGTCAATAAAGGTAGGAAACCACAATTTTGTATGAAAGCTGAATTCCATGTAGTTATATATTACTTTTTATTTTTTTTAAATGCATCTAGTGCAAGTACCTGAATTTGTCTATTAGCCTCTTACAATCCAAATGTGCATACATGCAGGTATGTTCACAGGAAATATAAAGAAAAAAGGGGGTCAGACTGCTTTCAAAGAGGAGACAATCTAAGGGTTAGCCAGAGAGCGTGACAGACCAAATTAGAAAATCGTACAAAAACTTTTAGTGCATATCAAAGCACAACCAAATATCAAAAAAGCACCATTAAAATCGCAAAAAAGTTACTGACTGAGTCCATTTCGTTCTGAATAGTAATTAAACCCTAATTTTTCCGGCACCTTTAGCCGGAAGCTTTTTTTTCCCGGCACCTTTGATATTCTACTGTCCACTATCTATCAGAATCTTTCTATAGTGGGAATACAGTTTAACATATACAATAAAGAGCTACTTTGTAACAACAAATACTGAACACAGGCCAGACGAAATCAAGGAAGGTGGCGAGTTGTAAGCCACATTAGTCCACTAATCTATCTAAGATAGAAACAAACTTCTATCCACCTGTCATTTGTGTTGTTGCTACCTAAAGACTGTTATTCAAAAGGTTTTGATGTAAAGGAGCCGGAAAAATTAGGATCTAATTACCATTCAGAACTAAATGGACTCAAAGTCAGTAACTTTTTTGCGATTTTTAATGGTGCTTTTTTGATATTTGGTTGTGCTTTGATATGCACTAATAAAAAAAATTTAGTATGATTTTCTAATTTGGTCTGTCCCGCTCTCTGGCTAACCCTTAGATTGTCTCCTCTTTGAAGGCAGTCTGACCCCCTTTTTTCTTTATATGCTGTTACTTGGTTACTGATGCGGTAGACAGACCATCATAAGAGGGCAATTTATTGAGCACTGATCTCCAGGAGTGAAATAACCCAGTTTTTGACGTATGTTCACAGGGAACATGCTAATCGGAGTAGGGATTAGAGATGACGTAATAAGGCTTTTGCTGCTTCCTCACTGACCAGCCAGCAGGTTAGGGGTGCAGAGAGGGCACCCATGTTTTTTTTTTTAACTTTGTGGTGGTCATCTGCCTAACTGTTCTGTGTGATGGGGTACAGCGGCGTTAGTCTGTGTGTTCTACTAGAGGAGGTCATGGAGCTCACGGGTGGGGGGGGAGAAGAGAATCAGTTGGGTACCTGGTAACTTCGTTTCCAGGACAGCATATAAGAGGGAAGGCTCTGCTGACCTGAAACAGGAAACGCATCATTCACGCGAAATAAAGAGTAGCAAATACTACGGATGCACCAATACTGGTTTTTTTTGGGCAGTTTGTGTGTCTGTGTGTGTGATAGATAGATAGATATATTATTGGGTTCAGGTGTTTTGTAAAATTTCCTTGCTACTAAATATTCCACAGTCAACTGTTAGTGGGAACAACAACAACTCAGCCATGAAGTGGTAGGCCACGTAAAATGACAGAGCAGGGTCAGCGCATGCTGAAGTGTGCAGAAGTTGCCAACTGTCTGCAGAGTCAATAGCTACTTTTAATGGTGCTTTTTTGATATTTGGTTGTGCTTTGATATGCACTAATAAAAAAAATTTAGTATGATTTTCTAATTTGGTCTGTCCCGCTCTCTGGCTAACCCTTAGATTGTCTCCTCTTTGAAGGCAGTCTGACCCCCTTTTTTCTTTATATGCTGTTACTTGGTTACTGATGCGGTAGACAGACCATCATAAGAGGGCAATTTATTGAGCACTGATCTCCAGGAGTGAAATAACCCAGTTTTTGACGTATGTTCACAGGGAACATGCTAATCGGAGTAGGGATTAGAGATGACGTAATAAGGCTTTTGCTGCTTCCTCACTGACCAGCCAGCAGGTTAGGGGTGCAGAGAGGGCACCCATGTTTTTTTTTTTAACTTTGTGGTGGTCATCTGCCTAACTGTTCTGTGTGATGGGGTACAGCGGCGTTAGTCTGTGTGTTCTACTAGAGGAGGTCATGGAGCTCACGGGTGGGGGGGGAGAAGAGAATCAGTTGGGTACCTGGTAACTTCGTTTCCAGGACAGCATATAAGAGGGAAGGCTCTGCTGACCTGAAACAGGAAACGCATCATTCACGCGAAATAAAGAGTAGCAAATACTACGGATGCACCAATACTGGTTTTTTTTGGGCAGTTTGTGTGTCTGTGTGTGTGATAGATAGATAGATATATTATTGGGTTCAGGTGTTTTGTAAAATTTCCTTGCTACTAAATATTCCACAGTCAACTGTTAGTGGGAACAACAACAACTCAGCCATGAAGTGGTAGGCCACGTAAAATGACAGAGCAGGGTCAGCGCATGCTGAAGTGTGCAGAAGTTGCCAACTGTCTGCAGAGTCAATAGCTACAGACCTCCAAACTTTGTGTGGCCTTCAGATTGGCACAACATTGCGTAGAGAACTTCATGGAATGGGTTTCCATGGCCGAGCAGCTGCATCCAAGCCTTACATCACCAGTTGCAATGCCAAGACTTGGATACAGTGGTGTAAAGCACGCCGCCACTGGACTCTAGAGAAGTGGGGACGTGTTCTCTGGAGTGACGAATTACACTTCTGTCTGGCAATCCGATGGACGTGTCTTGGTTTAGCGGTTGCCAGTAGAACGGCACTTGCCTGACTGCATTGTGCCAAGTGTAAAGTTTGGTGGAGGGGGGATTATGGTGTGGGGGTGGTTTTTCAGGGGATTGGCTTGGCCCCTTAGTTCCAGTGAAAGGAACTCTTAAGGCATCAGCATACCATGACATTTTGGGCAATTTCATGCTCCCAACTTTGTAGGAACAGTTTGGAGATGGCCCCTTCCTGTTCCCACATAACTGTGCACAAAGCCAGGTCCATAAAGACATGCTTGAGTGAGTTTGGGGTGGAGGAACTTGACTGGCCTGCACAGAGTTCTGACCTCAACCCGATAGAACACCTTTGGGATGAATTGGAGCGGAGACTGCAAGCCAGACCTTCTCATCCAACATCAGTACCTGACCTCACAAATGTGCTTCTGGAAGAATGGTCAAACATTCTCAGACACACTCCTAAACCTTGTGGACAGACTTCCCAGAAGAGTTGAAGCTGTTATAGTGGCAAAGGGTGGGCCAACTTGGTGTGTGGGTGTTCGTTCTCGGCGATACTGATACCAAAAGTACCATAAATTAAGCCAGGCAAAGTGTAATGACTTGCTGCCTAGCTTCCTAATCAGCTGGGCGGCCCTCTCTATGCTCCCTCACCAGGTGACGAGGCATCGAGCCGGATTTCTGGACAATCGGGAAGCCAGGCAGGTGGAATGACTGTCCACCCAGCTTCCTGATACCGGAAGTTCCGGGATTGGAATCATTTTGGCCGAGTACTTGCCCCAAACACTCTATATATTGGCACCAATACTAGTATCGTTATCCGTGCATCCCAAGCATCTACACACCTCCAGTTAACAGCAAGTGCAGAAGGAATAGCTGTGCACAAAACATAAAACATCGGGAGGCAAACCCTGTTGTCCAGGAAGATTCCTAGAAATGGAGTTACCAGGTATGTAACTGATTTTTCCAAGTCGAGAACTGATACTCAATTTATTAGGGGGGGACAACAGCCTGCAGGAGCTCCCTGCCGAAAGCCTGGTTCTGGTTAGAAAACGCATAAATCCTGTAGTGATTTACAAATGTCAGGAAGCTGTTCTAGGTGGCTGCACTGCAGATTTGATCTGGAATAGCCCCTGCTTTCTCAACCCATGAAGAGGCCACAAATTGCTGGATTTCTTCAGGAACTTGTCTTTTGGAATACTTGGAAAAGACATCTCCTGACATCTATGCCTTGCCATGCTGCTTCCTTTTCATTGGAGGGTTTAGAACAAAATGATGAAATCACTTCCTGAGTTCTATGAAAGATGGATGCCACTTTGGCTAAAAAAAGATAGGTCAGGTTTGAGAATAATAATATCCGGTAAAATGGTAATGATCTGCCATGGACAAAGCATGACTCTCGCTGACCCTTCCAGCCGAATCAGTAGCCACTAATAACACTGTTCGCTCAAGACCCTTACCTTAAAAACAGTCTCTAATTTGTTTGAAAGGAGGCCTGAGGAACCCCGTAAGGACTACAGATTAGGTCCCAGTTCTGACATTTTCTAACTGTAGGGGGACGGACCCTGCTTACCGCTCAATAATTTCCTTACTAAGGCTTCTCTGCTAACTTGAGATCAAAGAAATTGGAGAGCACAGCAACTTTAGCTTTAAGGATACTGCAGGCTAGATTCCGGTCTACTAGGGATGCACCGATCTATCGGCTGAAAATGGCACTTTTGGCATATTCTGGCCGATACAGTGGTGCATCCGTGCATTCTCTCCTCCCCGCTGGGCGCTGCTCTGTGTCCCAGCGGGGAGGGGAGGAACTGTGACGGCCGAGCGTTGCGGGAGGAGAGCGCTGTGAGTGACCAGCATCTCTCCTCCCACACCGCCCGGCCTCCTGACGCAGAGCGGTGTGTGGGCGGAGACGGCCAGCGCTGTCACAGCAGGCTGAGCTCTCCTTTCACACCGCTCACTCAGCCTCCTGTGACAGCATGTCAGGAAGGAGAGCAGTACAATCACTCAGTTATTGAGTTTGTAAATAATTGAGGACATAGTATGGTTACTATATTCTGAATGAATGGGAAGTGATCTACATCACCTCCTGTTCTTTCATGATTGTGGTTATAGTAAACATACTCTGTCCTCATGTTATGACTGAACAGGGACACTCATAGAGAATTCCTGTTCATTTATAACAGGGGCTGCAGAAACAGAGATTGAGAACTGTGTTCTCAATCTTTCTATTTTAAAAGGGAAATATCAGGGGTCTGTTTAGACCCCTAATATTTCCCTGAGGCCCCTAAAAAGTAAAGTTAAAAATTATTAAATATAAAATAAATAAATTGGTTTCTGACTCCTTTTTTTTTTTTTTTTTTTTTTTTTTTTTTTCC